ATTAAACAGTACATAAGTAATCATTAAAAGAATAAAAAATAATAACACATCTAATCTCAATAGTTGAATTCAAGATCTAATAGTACTGTTTACTCATGAAAAAATACTTCATATTACAAAAAACGAGTCAATTTTGAACAATTTGGTACACTCTCTTGTTTCTGTATGTAACCTGTGCTTAATCGCAGGTGGAACAAATGGTTTCATATAACTCAAGGAATTGCTTTTTTGTATTTTGTTCTTAGTTTTTCTTCTTTTTTCTTTCTTATTTGCCTTACCCCCCCCCCCTTCAATTGAATTGTAATAGGTTATCTGCATTAAGTAAAAGATGCAATAAAACTAAATGGAAAGAGTGGGGAAAAATAAATCTTGCATGAGTTGAGAACATTTTCATTTATACCAGGTTGTAAATTGAAAATCCCAGCAGAGACAGAAGACTTCTCTTCATCCAGGGATAAAAGAACCATGGGTGAAGGCCTCTGTCTTGTGAACAATAAATGAATATAGTCTGTGCCTTGTCTCATAGGTATAAAACTTGTTTGAAACAGCAGTTCAAAGGCACTTATGGAGTCAGTCAGCACGAGTACCTTCTGTCATTTTCAGACCAACTTTTATAAGACGAGTGGGCCTACAGCTTGAAGACTGTGCTGCATACCAAAATCTGGCTTGAGAATGAGAGTTAAAACTATTATTATTAAACATAGGCAAGTATGGGATTATATATTAGAAAGAGAATCCACAGGGAAATAGTATCCTACATGTCCATGACTGAGGGAGGAGAGTATAGGGAAAAGCTTTGAAGACCATTGTATATTGAGAAGATAGGTATAGTGTGCCACAATTGTCCTGACCATTCTCATAAAAGATCTTGAGATCAGTTCTCCTTCAAGGGTTGTTTTGATTATTTTTCAAGGTCAGTACTGATCCAGATGGTACAGTCTTTCAATGTGAGAGAATATTCTAATCAATGAAGTTGGCTGTTGTCTACTCGCTTTGGATGGTGCAAGAACATCATAGTGTAATTACATCTTATGCCTGCCCTGTTTGGCATAAGTCTGTTCACGTGAAGCAGGTAAAGATAGCACTGAATGAAACATGCAGAATAATCATGTGATAGAGTCTACAAGCTAGCTGGCATTGCCCTCCCTGATCTGTGACGGGAAGTTGCTGCCAACTGTGAGAGAAATAAGGTTGAACACTGTGAAAGCCATGTACTGCATGGCTATCAGCCTCCTCCCAGTAGACTCAAATCAAGGAAAAGCTTGATAAGAACCAYTCCTCTTAACATTCCCCCATCAACAGAAAGAGCACCCCTCTGGGCAGCTAACCCAGGAAATATCAATTAGATGCCCCCCCCCCCCCACACACACACACACAAGGGTCTGCCTCCAGGGGCAAATCAAGAATGGGCGACTTGGAAGTCCCTGAACAGACTCAGAATTGGAGTGGGCAGATCAAAAGACAACCTGGCAAAATGGAACTACCTAAAAGAATCCTTCACCTTGTGTGACTGTGGATCAGAACAAACAACTTTGCACATGTTTGCTTGCCCACAATGCCCTCCTTCATGTACAAAGGAAGAATTGTTTAAAGCTACAGACAATGTGTTGCTCAATTTTGATCAAAAATTATTAAGCCGCTTGTGCTCATTCTATTTTTTATCAGTTTTATACTTACTTATGTATGCAATGCTTTTGACATGAAATAATAAATCATTTGAGAAAAGTAGATGTGATTGATGATGGTGTTGTCTTCTTGTTAGGGCATAGACGACCTCATGGTTCTACTAAAAATGAACCTGGATGCAAACTAAAACTTGGAAGGTGCTGGATACTTGCCAAGACAGGGGTATTCCTCATTTTTCCTGGGGTTTCCAAAAAATAAATCAGGGAAGAAAGCTTGCCAGGTTTGTATTTCTCTTTTATAATACTTTGTTTGCTTTTTCAAGCACATCTTTTTGAACTTCAAATCACTTGCATGCTTATTGCCTCGGAATCCAAAAGAACCCTTGCCTTTGGCAAAATAGGGAGGGAGCATAGGTAAAATAAAAGTAAGATCTTAAATTATGATTTACTGCTGTATCCTTCTATTGTTTATATTGTAAAAATTAAGTAAAGAAAAAATGTATATATGATGGAAACAATTAAAAAGAAAAGATGGGGGGGGGGGAGAGAGAAAATGGGAGTTAATGGCTTCATACAAACTGCTTAGCCAGGCTTACTTTCTGTAATTTCTTTCATCACCTCTATAAATACTGGTGTTATTTAGAACTTTGAACCATTTAGCAACACAGTCTACTGTCTTACGTGATTCATCTGCTTTATTGTTTCCTCTATTTCTGAAAACTCAAAAATCTCTTTGTGTACCCTTTATGAACTTCTTAAGTTCTGACATTTTACTGACTGTAGTCTCTTTGATGAAAACACAATTTCCACAAAGTTCTGGATAAAATGGGTTTCAAGTGTATTTATTTATATCCTACCTTCTTGTCACAACTTGTGCTCACTGTAAAGTTTAAGATTTTTTAACTAACTTATATCCCATTATTTAAATTATTTCCTTATTGTATTATGGGGAAGGGGAGGAAACGCAGACAGATGGATAGAAAAGTTCTTTTTAAGTACACTGAAGTTGCTAGCAACTCTTATACCATACAAAGCAATGGGAGGAATGAACAAAGAACATGGTGCCAGCATCACATCTGATTTACTGTTCAATGTCACTTGTAATTCATTTCAAATGTAGGCTAATGTATATAACAACAATAAAGAGAAAAGGCTAGAAAATTGTCTCACTTGGGCTCCAGGTTAAACAGGTAAAGTCTTGCCTTTAAAATACATGGCAAAAACATGTTCATCATTTTCTATATAGCATTACATTTTGGGCCTTATCTGCAATTCAAGTCTTCACTGAAATAGTTATAAGCAGTATACAATCAGTAGTAGCTGTGCCAATCCAACACCTATTATAGGCAGTTACAGTCACTGCTGTGTTTAACAAAATCAGATTTTCTTTGAGAGTGACAGTGAACCCCAAAGATTCGATCACAGTTGAAAATGTTTGACTATGGCTTGGAAGTGGATTTTGATAAGTTAAGCAGAGTAATCAATAGTACATGGCTAAATAGCCACCAGACTGGCAATAGCTAAATGGATTGTAAGTATACTGTTTTAATCTTTATTTATTAATGTTCATGTTTTTAATTGCTATATTTGCTATTTTGTATTTTATGATGCGGCATTGAATTATTGCCAATTGGAAGCCACTCTGAGTCCCCCTAGGGGTTGAGAAGGGTGGGGTAAAAATGTTTTAAATAAACTGTTGACATGAACCTGGAGTCTCATTCAGCAAGCATAACAAGAATAAGTCATCTAATTGAAGGAAAACCACTTGGTAAATCTGTGGGATCCAACTAAGCACATCTAATGGTTTCAGATAATGTTATAATCCTATTTGTACACTGTTCAGTGAAAGTGCATAAGTACTTTACACAAACTGGTGAAGTTGAAGCTTTCCTTTGGACAGGATCCTGTTATTCTTGAGATACCTCATTAACTGCAATAAGACAATTTGGGAATTAATAAGCAGTGGATATATTCGTCAGATTAACTTTGGGTTTATAAGGCATATTAATTTATTAATCAAGGGTCAAAACCTTTATATGTTATTTTCACTATGCTATTGTAATTTGATAGGAAAGCTATTGATTCTGATCCTGATTCTGAAATCTAAGCTTTTCATCCAACCATCATAATCATCTTCTGAAACCTGACACATTTCAGATGTCTTGGCTTTAGCTCATATCTTCCCAGAGGAATTTAGGATGAAGGAAGTAGTAGCCAACAGATTTATATGGCATAAATCCAAGAGCTGGAGACAGCTCACGGTGCTGGGTTCTTGTGGTACTACACAGTGAGGTTGCCAAGTTAGGAGTAAAGTAAATGTTATGCAAAAGATCTATTATTTTAAACATGTCTTTTCAAATACTAATAACACACTGCATGGGGCAAATTTAGATTGGGAGCACTCCACGGGGAAAATGTTATTTATAATTCTTCTCTACACACATTTCTCCAAAGTCTGAGAATGATTAACTTTATTTATATCCTACCTTTCTCAAAATATGTCTATGTCTGTATGTATGTGTGTGTATATATGTGTGTGAGTTTGCATATTTTATCCAGAAGTAGATGTATTTGCATATTATTCCCAAAGTAACGGCTTTGGGAAAGGATTCACTCCCCCAACAACTGTGGTTCCAATTTGTCCCGCCTCTCCACAGATATTGATGTGAAGATATTTTAAAGTGAGAGATGCTATTTATGTATCTCCAGCACAAGTTCTACTTTGGCCCTCAGTTTTCCCATATCTGCTGTTATCAACATATTCAAATTGTGAAATACACCCTAGAATAAGAGCTCAGAAGATTTCTTCTGAGGGACCATGCTTGTTGTAGGCAAGGCGAGAACAAACTCTAAGGCCTCCAATATTACCAGCTACTGCCCTAAGCTTTTGAACATTTGACCTATATATACAGCCATTGTAAGAAAGATGTGCTTTTTTAACAGCTCATAAGGGTTCACACAGGTGAGATTCCTGGATTGCAATTTCCCTACAATCTACTGAATTCCTCCACATTCAGTGACACAACAAGGATTAGAAGAAAATTGGAGAGCACGTGTTTCCCTCCAGCCATATTTGACATATAATAGTGGAGGAACAGGATATAATGTTTTATTGGCAGCAGAAGGAAAGTGGTAACTTGACTTGCAGGCTAATATCTCAGAGTCCGTAATACTGTTTAAAAACCTCTGCCTTTATGAACAATGGAAATTGTGATTAATGTTGCATAAAGCTAGCAAAAATATAGGAGAAAGGCAGATGGAGAGGGAGGAATCTTCCTCAAATAACCTTTCCTAGGGAACTGCATCACACGTAATTTCAATTTTCTTTTTTGATCACTCAGTATAGTAAATTAATGCCTGTAGGAAACAAGCAGATACTTGGCATGAAATGTGTTTATTTCAGTTACGCTGTACATTAAAAATAACACCCACTTCAAAGGCTAGTTTACAGATAAAAAGGCATAGGTATACAGAGCTTTTTGGGAGTTTCCAGTTCTGAACACCATCTCTTCCACGGGTTGCCATTGCATGCCTGGATAAGGCAGAAACATGGAAACTGAAACAACCCCTATCCATGGGAATCTGCATCCTAAAATCAGATTCACAGCGTTGGTTGGTCATCAGGTTCTGAAGCTCTGAAGATCCATATGATACAAAGCCAGAGTATCATACACACAAACATAAACATATATATAAAGACTGCATGTGGTGCTGCTTGTTGTCTGAAGTAACATCTGTGCCAATATCTGGAGCTGGAGAGAGGATAGGCAATGATGTTTTAACAGACAGAAAGTGGTTGTTTTTATCTTCACACTGTGGTGACTGCCATGGGCTTCAGGTTCCTGTCAAGGAAATATTTAAAATATGATGCAAGTATCAGTCTTGTGCACAAGATAGAAAACGCAGTCTCAGGTGATGCATAATACAAAGGCTACAAAAAAAGAAAAAAGAAGGAAGGAAGGAAGGACAAAGGCATATCATTGAGTTTCTTCACAAACCAGTGAAACACAGGAAGTGTTTGTGCCATGACGCAAGATTGCGTCTGATTATTGGAATGCAGACTGTGAACAAAGACCCTTTGTTTGCCTTGGCTTCAATCTGAGACAGGCCCAGGATGATAGGCACTGCAGTCCAGTGGTGGACAAGATCATACATCACTTTTACCCATTTGTATAGTCTACCACCAATCGTACAAACATCTCACTTCAATTTAAATTCCAGTTCAATATTCTGGCTGGAAAGCAGAGCCCAGTTCGCCCAGAATTCAAATCTATGGTTGTAAATAGCCATTTATTATCAAATACAGTTCAAAACTTTAATTGTATTCATTTCTACTTGGGAACATGCCCCAGCACACCATCTTCCCAGACTGCAAATCAGAATTCAATTTATGCATGTTTTCTCACAGGTAAATCCCAGTTCAATGCCCCCCTGGGCTACAAAGCAGACTTCAGCTTCCCAAGAGTGAAATCTCCAGGCTAGAGATAGGCCTTTATTACCAATTACAGATCAGCAGAAGAAGTAAAAACAGTTTCAAGCCTTGTCGAAGGCTTTCATGGCTGGAATCACTGGGTTGTTGTAGGTTTTCCGGGCTATATGGCCATGTTCTAGAGGCATTTTCTCCTGACGTTTTGCCTGCATCTATGGCAAGCATCCTCAGAGGTAGTGAGGTCTGTTTGGAAGTAGGAAAATGGGTTTATATATCTGTGGAATGACCAGGGTGGGACAAAGGACTTTTGTCTGGTTGGTGGGTCTGTAGGTGGTTTGTACATTGTGTTTCCTCATCAGCTTCCCTTTACACACCATTTACAGAAAACCCACATACACAGATAGATACCTACATCAAAACTCCAACCATCACCCAAGTCAAAAAAGAAGCACCATTAAAGCCTTGGCAGACTGTGCAAAAAGAATCTGCGAACCCCACCTCCTCCAAGATGAACTGAACCACCTCAACTGGGCTCTCCAGGCCAATGGATACTCCACCTCAGACATCAGAAGAGCTGCAAGACCAAGAACAAGCCACGAGAGTAAAGATGAAGATCCACCCAGAGGAAAAGTGTTCCTGCCATACATCAAGGGAACCACTGACCGCATAGGGAAGCTGATGAGGAAACACAACATACAAACAATCTACAGACCCACCAAGAAAATCCAACAAATGCTACGTTCAGCAAAGGACAAGAGGGATCCTCTCACCTCTGCAGGAGTCTACCATGTACCATGCAGCTGTGGACAAGTCTACATAGGGACCACCAAATGCAGCTCCCAAACACAAATCAAGGAACATGAAAGGCACTGCAGACTAGTTCAACCAGAGAAATCAGCCATAGCAGAGCACCTGATGAACCAACCTGGACACAGCATATTATTTGAGAACACAGAAATGCTGGACCACTCTCACAACACCATGTCAGACTACACAGAGAAGCCATTGAAATCCACAAGCATGTGGACAATTTCAACAGAAAGGAAGAAACCATGAAAATGAACAAAATCTGGCTACCAGTATTAAAAAAACTCAAAAATTACAACAGCACAACAACAGAGAGTAAACAATCAGGCACATCAAATCACTCTCAACAAAAAAAAATTCCCCCAGGCACTTCCAAGCCATTAAATGCTAATCAAGGTGGTCAGGTGAAATATTCACACCTAGCTCAACCAGACAAAAGTCCTTTGTCCCACCCTGGTCATTCCACAGATATATAAACCCATTTTCCTACTTCCAACAGACCTCACTACCTCTGAGGATGCTTGCCATAGATGCAGGCAAAACGTCAGGAGAAAATGCCTCTAGAACATGGCCATATAGCCCGGAAAAACCTACAACAACCCAGTGATTCCGGCCATGAAAGCCCCAGGGCAGAGTTTTCTTGTCCCTGCTTTAGAAACAATCAGAAATCAGCAACTGGGGTGAGTAATAGATAAGGGATACATACTGTGATGGACATCCTTGATATTTCACCTCTCTTTATTAGTGCAGTTGTACTGATTTGCAAATCCATGATTCCACGATCATACTTCTGCACACCCTACTAACACTGTCTTCCTATACTACTGCTATTCCTTATTTTTTATATATTTTCTTTTTTATACAAACATGAAATTCCAGCAGGGAGGGAGAGAGGAGGAGAATCTCATCCCCTGACATCACTTTACTGTCAGCATACTGGCACAGAATCAGAAATACCTGTCATACTAAAACAGGTGATGGGAACATTGTGGGACTGAAAGCTATTGACAGGTTTTTCCCATTAAGAATCATTGGAGTAGGAGCAAATCGACAGCAGGATGCTGTTATGTGAGAGGGACTGCAATGCTGGTTTGGCTGCCTCCTGCAGTAAAGTCCTGAATTTGCTTCCTCTTTGAGCATGAAGGACGTGAATTCTCCCTTATAAAGCTGCACAAGGAGACACCTACCTTGTACTGGACTATCTTTCTCTTCATTTAAAAGATACAATGAGCCTCAGAGATGAATGGGAGAGGCATGAGCAAATACTTTGCAACTTCCCTTCCTAAGACACATCCTCCTGTCCCTTCGTCATCTTAAATTTACCCACCATCAGTAAGGAGACAGCACTGAGGTTTTATCCTGTGTCTTCTCACGCTATGGCATTAAGGTGCTATGATTCCATTTTAACTGCCATGAGACTATCCCATGAAATACTAGGATTTGCAGTTTACTTTTCAGCAGGAGTGATGCAGTGCCTCCAATGAAATTACAAGTCGTAGAATTTTATAAGATTCATCCATTTATTTATTTACCCTATTTATAGCCTGCCTTTCTCTACCCCTGGGGGAACTCAAGGCGGCTTACATATGGCAATTATTAAATGCCTTAAATGCATATAAACATTAAGCATAGATCAATTGGATTAAAATTAATACATATTAAACATTTAAAATTACATTCGCTATTAAAATCACACCATCCAAAAATTGTAGTCAAAGGCCATTCCATAGTCATTACACGTGCTCCAATTATATTATTGCACTGCGCTATTTTCCAAAGGCCTGATCCCAGAGCCAGGTTTTTACTCTCCTTATGAAAGCTAGGAGGGAGGGGATTCCACAGCCAAGGGGCCACTACTGAGAAGGCCCTATCTCTCATCCTCACCAGTCATACTTGCAAAGAAGGTGGGACCGAGAACAGGGCCTCCCCAGATGATCTTACTCTCTGAGGTGGTTCATAGAGGAAGACAGGTAAATTGGGCCAGAACTGTTTAGGGCTTTATAGGCTAAAGCCAGCGCTTTGAATTGTAGCAGACTGGCAGCCAGTGGGGCTGATGTAACAGAGGAGTTGTATGCTCCCTGTATGCCGCTCCAGTGAGCAACCTGGCTGCCACCCGTTGGACCATTTGAAGCTTCCCAACAGTCTTCAAAGGCAACCCCACATAGAGCGCATTGCAGTAATCTGTATGGGATGTAACCAGAGAGTGGACCACCACAGCCATAACTGTTCCAGTGGTAATAAGATGTTATTGCTGGTAGAGCAAAAGAGACCCCATATCAGCCAGACATTTCATAGGCAGAAGTACAAGAATCAGGGATTCTCCAACTCCTTCCCTAGATTGAAAAATGTTTCACGTGGACCAAAAGAGAGAAAGTAGTCAAGTAATGAATCCTCCTCCACACTTGTAAGCAAATCTTTTCACTCCTAGATAAACAAGAGATATGTTCAATACAGAGCTTGAAAAGGTTACTGCTGAACTATAACACCCAGAATGCTCCAGCTTCTATCAAGCCAGTGATGGTTGATCGGTAACCATGCTTTTCAAGAAAGTAGCTCCTCTGAGCTCTGGTTCAATATATGCTTACTTCCTGAATGCAACCAGTTGGGCATGTGGGCATAATATTTAGAATTTCCATTATTACTGTGTTCTGCAGCTAGAGGCATCAAGCCAAAGGCTATTGTTCCCCCAGCAGGAGTTTTCTTACTTGAGAAATAGCCTACCTTCATTTAATTAGATTTTCCCTCATTTAAAAACCAATAAAAGAAAAGGGCAGAGAAATAATCTAGAATATAAACTATTTAGGAATATTACAATTGTAAATTATTCTTTATAAATAATAAGAAGAATCACCTCCTTGCACTAATTCAGAAGTCAAATGCCAGGGTTGGCACAGCTACAACCTTTACGGCAAGCCTTTCCTTTCAAATGGCTTCTTTATGTCCAGGAGAAGAAAAGTAAGGTAAAAAAAAAGCAGGGGGTGGGGGAAAAGGAAAAGTCAATATTCTCCTGAACTGAATCCCAACAGCTATGAATTAAAACTTGAGTCTCTTTCACACCGCACAATTATAGAACTTTGAAACCGTTTTAATTGCTATGGCTCCACCTCAAGCATTGTGAAATTTGTAGATTTGATGAGATTTTAGAATTTCTGCCACACAGCTCTAGTTCTGCCTCAAACACTAAATCCCAGAACACTGTAGGATGCATGGCATCAAAGTGCTATAAGATCGTGCAAATTTACCAGGACTCTAACATTGCTGCTTGAAATGTGTAGGTTTTAAATAATGACCTCTGAGATTGAAGTCCACTGGGTATTTTAGTCATGAGTGTTCCTCTGACGGTGACTAGACACACTGAAGCGGATGGATCAATATTTTTACAAGGCTTAAAGGTGTTCCTGGCATGCATAAAAAGTAACAAAAAGTGCTAGAGAATGCCTATTGACCTTTACCTGTGAAAGGGATCTAGGAATCTTAATTGACCACAAGCTGAACATGAGTCGACAGTGTAATTCAAGAAGGACATGCTGAAATGTGTTCAGAGAAGCATGAGCAAAATTATGAAAGGTTTGGAAACCAAGCCCTATGAGGAATGGCTGAGGGAGCTGGGTATGTTTAGCTTGGGGAAAGGAAGAGTGAGAGGCAACATGATAGCCATGTTTAAATAGCTGAGAGAAGAGGTGACGTGATAGTCTCATTTAAATATTTGAAAGGATGCCACGTTTAAGGCAAGGAGCAAGCATGTTTTCTGCTGCTCTGAAAACTAGAATTCCACCTAAACAGGCAGAAATTTCTGGTGATAAGAGCTGTTTGGCAATGGAATATGCTGCCTCGGAGTGTCGTGGAGTCTCCTTCACTGAAGTTTTTGAAGCAGAGACTGGATGGCCCCTTGTTGGGGGTGCTTTGAGGGTGTGTTTCTGCATGTCAAGAAGTTGGACTGGATTGCCCTTGGGGTTTCTTCCAGTTCTATGACTTTATGATTTACAATGGCAGTTTGAAACAGTAGCTGGCACCAGTCTACCAAAGGATTGTTTTTAACCACTGGAAACTGGGAACTTACAGTCCCAGGTATTTATTCATGAGTACACAGTAGGCCTGTGCAATCAATTAAAAAATGTTGATTTTTGGAAATTTGTTTGAAGTTTTTATGAATAACTTTTAAAAAACCCTACAAGAGTCATATTTTTGAATTTCTATTTTTAATGATACAGCATAAACAGGGCATCATTCCCACAAAGTTTCAGAAAAATTGGGTTGTTGTAGGTTTTCGGGCTGTATGGCCATGTTCTAGAAGCATTCTCTCCTGACATTTTGCCTGCATCTATGGCAGGCATCCTCAAAGGTTGTGAGGTCTGAAAGATGTTCACATTCACTGATTTTTAGGGAATTTTAACCAACATAAACTTTACACTACTATTTCATTGGAAGACCCTTTCTGCCAGGCAGAAAAAGCACAGTGAAAGCACCCCCAACAGACACCATCTGCCTGCGACAAAGAACTGGTGGGATCAACTGGTATTATTTAGATGTTAATATTGTCTGCTTAAAAGAAGAGTGAGATTATTCATTTTTAAGATAAGACAATAGAGAGAATAAGATTTGTAGGTAGAAGCCGAGATGAGACTACTGGTATAATTACCTGAACAATCCTTTTGAAGGAAAAAGTCATACAAATATACTAAGATTCCTCTTCTTCTTCCTCTTCTTCTTGCTCCTCTTCTTCACCCTCCTCACCTCCTGCCTCCTCTTCTTCTGCCTCTTCTTCTGCCTCTCCCTCTTCCTCCTGGGCTTCTTCTGCTTCCTTATTTACACAAAAGAATGAAAAAATATTGAAACACTGAAAGTGAAAGAAATGACTATGAAAGCAATGATTACATCTGACATGAATATTTTCTCTGGTTGTAAAAAAAAAGTTGAATAATTTTCAAGGCTGTGAATAAATGCTGCCGTAAAGTCAAATTCTCTATGTACAAGGTAGGTGTTAAGACGTCTTTTAGTACATCATTTCTACTACTGACAACTCCCTTGATAGACTAGGGACCAAGTTCAGGTTTCTGCTACTTTTTCTTTTTGGTAGAGAGACCAAATGTATTTGACATGATAGGGGTGATAAACAGTACGAAAAAGGTGAGGAGCTAACACATTGATGTACCAACTCTGGAAAGAAGTGACACCCAATCAGGAGAGTGGTTCCACTAGGCAAAATGCTATGCATATGCACATATCTACACACTTATCTGCACTCATGTAGGTAAAACAAAACAAAAAAGACTGAATTTCACATGGCACGCCTACAAATGTCAACCACAAATGGTTATTAACTGTAGACAAACCCGAATATCTGTTTGTTTTAATTAACTTACTAAACTAATAAGCTTCACTTCCATATCATCTAAATGAACATGGCCTCATTTTTGGAAGGATGGCACAGGCCAAAATACCTTAAAGTCATCAGATCTTGTTTGATCTTGGACGCTAAGCAGAGTCACCTCTAGTTAGCACTTAGATGGGAGATCATCAATGAATATCAATCTCTGTAGACTATATTTCAGAGGAAAAATTTGCAAGTATTGCTTGCCTAAGAAAATGCTCTGAAACTGATGGTGTCACCATAAGTCAACAGGTCAATTGAAGTCACACACATACACAAACAGGATTATGATTGGGGTTATCGGGCATTTGGATTAATGGGAGAATTGTTTATAAGTTCAGAATTTGAAGTTTCTACAACAGACAGATACTACCCTTCTTAAGAACTACTTCTTGAAAGGTTGTTTGACTGAAACTTAATGTAGATTTGTTCAAATATGTTTAAGATTCTCTAGTCAAGTTGCAAAGCTGAAGCTTAGCTATTCACATTACACAATTAGAGCTCTATGAGTCCACTGTAACATTTGTGGTTGTGTCCTAAGGAATCCTGGAATTTGTAGTTAGGTCAGGCACTAAAGCTCTCTGGCTATGATTACTAACTAGCCCTCTCTAAACTCCAAAGTACACTATGGTTGCCATGACAGCTAAAAGTATGGTTATGCTGCTGTGATTGTGTAGTGTAAAAGGGTTCCTGCTGTGTGCTGGAGTGCTTTCTACTTAAAAGGTCATGTTAATGTACTCTAGGCTACATACTAAATTGTTTATAGTAAGATATTCACTACTTATTTTTCTTAATGGCTAAAAGGAAACAGTAGCCAAACCTGCATCTTAAAATCTTGCCTATTCAGATTATTTGAAACCTATACTCTACATATTAAACATAATTTAACAACCCCCTTTATTTTTGCTTTGTCATGAAGCATCAAGTTCTTTATAAAAAGCATATTGTTTGTTTATTATTTATTAGGAGCATTTCTATCCCATCCTTCTCGCCTCCAAAGAGAGACTCAGGATGGCTACCAACAGGCACCATTCGGTGCCAAACAATAAAACAAGCATAATATACAATTAACCTACATTAAAAACAATTATAGATACATTAAAACGGTTTGCTGTTTCATGTTGTCTTCCAAATCAATCTATTGCTGTCAACTAAAACGTCCATTAAAACCGTCTATTCTGCGAATACTTGATCCCATAACCAGGGTTTGAGCTTCTTCAGAAGGTCATGAGGGAGGGGGAAGACCTGATCTCATTAGGGAGGGAGGTCTACAACCAAAGGGGCCATCACAGAGAAGGCCTTGTCTCATTCCCACCATGCAATGGTGGTGGGACCGAGATCAGGGCCTCTACAGATGACCTTAAGGTCTTTGGGGTTTCATAGAGGGAGATATGTTCGAACAGGTAAGCTGGGCCAGAACTGTTTAGGGTTTTATAGATCAAGATCAGCACTTTGAATTGTGCTCAGAAGCTAATAGGCAGCCAGTGGAGCTGGTGTAACAAGAGGGTTGTATGCACCCTGTACCCCACTCCAGTGAGCAACCTGGCTGCTGAGCGTTAGACTAGCTGGAGCTTCCGAACAGTCATCAGAGGCAATCCCACGTAGAGTGTGTTGCAGTAATCTATGCAGGGTGTAACCAGAGCATGGACCACCATGGCCAAGTCTGACCTCCCAAGATACGGGCACAGCTGGCACACAAGTTTTAACTGTGTGGAAGCTCCCCTGGCCACCGCTGAAACCTGGGGTTGCAGGCTCAACAATGAGTCCAGGGTCACTCCCAAGCTGTGAACCTGCGCCTTCAGGGGGAGTGTAACCCCATCAAGCACAGGCTGTAACCCTATACCCTGTTCGGCCTTCTGACCGACCAGGAGGACCTCTGTCTTGTCTGGATTAAGTTTCAATTTGTTTGCTCTCATCCAGTCCGATACAGCTGCCAAGCACCAGTTCAGGACCTGAACAGCCCCCTGTTCTCATATTGTTCTCTCCCACTTTTACCATTCAAATTACTGGAGCTTTCAGGAAATAATGTTCACTGCTTAGAAATGTTACTTTTTTGACTGCACCTCCCAGAATCCCACACTCAGAATGGTCAATGTTCTATGCCAATAGTATTTCTGCTTCTATCTGGAGAAGTGACTGAGCTAATATGGGCATCATAGTGTTTTTTCATTCTAATCAGTTTTTAAAATAATGTTATCACCCTCCTCTCACGGATCTTGCGTCTCTTAAAGCAGGATTTAGTCACTTCATTTTTAGTTGCAAAATGTGAGAAGGGAAACCACTGAGATTACAGTGGCTGGGATTCTGGTATTTGTAGTTAAAAAAGTAATCTTCCCAACTTGTGTGGTCTGAACACACCCCAAGAAAGAAAGAGAAAGACTCAGGTGGTAACTTTACGGAGGAGAAATCAGTTAGCTTATGAAAGGCTAGTAAGGTAAGTCATAGAATGACTTGATCCAGGATCTGGAACCAACTCTGAGCATGTCAACAGGGAATCTCTTGAGACATGGTCCTCTGAACTGGAACCACTCCTCCTTCCCAGTTCTAAAACTCGCCAATGATGTTTTCCCTGATGAATTGCCTCTCTTTTCCTCAACATGTTTTATAATCCCCAGGATATACTCACTACTGTAAAAGGAGGAACTAAGTGAGAGGTGACAAAGTGCTAGGCTTTAATTGTGGTTTTAATTTAAATGTCTATTTTAATAGTTGTTGTTTTATGGCATTGAATTGTTGCCTATATGTAAATCCACCTTGAGTCCCCTTCGGAATGAGAAGGGCGGGGTATAACTTTAGTAAATAAATAGTAATAAATAATTGGCTTCAGAGCTGAGCAAAGGGCTCTCTGCTGATCACCATAGGACTCAGACTGGATCCAAAGATTGCTGGAACAGGTTGTTAGCTTGGTGCTATCCAAGGTGCTGGAAATTTATCTCCATGTTGACTGCCACCCTAGTTAATTTAACCACCATCAAGTAACCCTTATGTCTATGGATTTCTACTTCCAATTGCAGGACAATATTGTATACAGTACATGTAGGTCTGCACGCATGAATTTATACAATTTTCTGTCTGGGGGACATCATCTGAAGTGAAAAATATTTTTTTAGGTTAAAACAAATAGCAGGATAAATTCATAAGTGTTGTTTGAGTCCCAAATAGGTTCCCATATTTAGCTTAAGAAAAGAGAATGGTCAAAAGAAGCAATACAGTCAAAGAAAAGAACATGCTGAAAGAGCATTCAAGCCTGTTACTATACTTCTGTCACAGCTTGTTCTTCGCCTTCTTCCTGAAAAAGAAAAAAAGAAAACTATTCTTTAAAAGCGACTAAATGAAAAAGGGAAATAGATAATTTATGACAAAAAATATTCATGAGAAAAGTAACTGTTCAACAGAGAAATCTTATTGTTCATTTTAAGTCTTACTATGTTAATTCCAGTCTAAATGTACATTGAACAGGAGCTGCAAAGAAGCTCAAAGAGTTTTCCACCTATTTTCCCACATGATACCCACATTTGAGCATATACTATAATATAAAGCAAGTTATATCTGGCTTCTTCACCCAAGAAGCTGCTAATGCAATCAGAAAAAAAGTGTCAGAGAAACAGCAACAAAGTCGAACAAATTAGCTTCTGGGGTGTTGTGTGGTTTCTGGACTGTATGCAACCACAGGTCATCATCATCATCATCATCATCATCATTTATAGCCTGCCCTATCTCCCTTAGGGGACTCAGGACATCTTACAACAATATAAAACACAATGGCAAATATTCAATGCCAATAAAACATATAACAAATCAAACACAACTTAAATAAACATGACATAGTACATTTAACATGTTTAACATATTGAATCCATTAATAACTCTAAAAATTTGACTAAAATAATTGGGGTTAAGATGGTGTACAGCAGATTAACAGAGAAATGTGTTCAACAGATGCAGGTGAAACGTGAGGGGAAAATGATGCTAGAACATGGCCATACAGCCTGGAAACCACACAACATTCCAGTGACTCTGGTCATGAAAGCCTTCAACAAATTAGCTTCTCTCTGTGGTCTTTGTAAAAACAATAAATTGACCATACTCTTGAAGATTTTTTTTTACTCTCCCTGTCCAAGGCTGAAATTTAAGAAATCTTAATGGAGAGAGTAATGTTCTCTAAAGACCATCTTCCCAGATTTCTAAGATCATTTGTGAAAGACAGTTGAAGGTAACTTGTGCAACTGAGGACAATCTCAACATGCAGAAATTTCCTCTTCAGAAAACATGTTCATAATGATCATTCTGCTCTACATATATTCATTCTATGGTTCATGCAGGCTCAAGCCACTAAGAAGAGTTCTGTTTTTATTGCAAGCTCATTTATTCATCCATAGCATCTTCCAGAAATTACATGTTTACTTCTTTTCATTTTACAGTAGAATTCAGAGCAGCCTCCACATTACTTTATATCTACTATGGCAGAGCAGCTGCAGCTTATAGTTTTCATTTCCCTCTCAGCATGCAGCAAAAACAGAGAAAGCAAATTCTCAGAGTCAGCTGCTGGTACTAGATTATTATATGATATTCCAAGGAAAAGTTGTTTGTTTCTCAGCGGAAGAACAGCTGTGGGTGCTTAATAAGCAAGATACTGTCAAAATTGTCTGCTGGGTGCCAACTTTCAGATGAGTTTTCACAAGGTGTTTTTAGAAACAACTTTGGGATGATTTAGAAAGTGCTAAGTCTGAGTTTCATACAAAATCCATAGCGGAGGGAGTAATTTATGAAAGCCACATACACATTCTAATCAAAGTAGTTGACACATAAAAATCCCAACTGAGATAGAGGTGAAAACCAGTATAAACTTCTCTTACATGAACATCATTATTGTGTATGATATAAATTTCAAAAGCAAGCTAAGATGCATCCAAACTGATATACACCTCACTCTTGAATCATTTACTCAAATATTGTGATGTACACATACTTAAAAAAAAACAGCAGCCTCAGCTGCCTTCATGGACATATACTGAGCAAGAGATTATAATGGTTAACGTATCTCTGTGAAGTCTGTTTCACATCTATTAAGTATCACTGAATGTTGCTATTACTGAGAAATACTGAGAAATTACTGTTTCAACTAAAACTTGAAACAGAGGAACAAGTATCTTTGAAACAGTTATTAAAATATTTTGAAAGTTATACATCCTTTCTCATGCAGCCAAATTGGCACTACCAGTGGTCCAGAGGGAGAAAGAAGAAGGAACTCCCAAAATTTTATAAGTGTATTATACCTTAAGCAAAAACAAACAAACTAAAGGGAAGAAATAAGCTTCTTTCTCAAAAATAGTCTAGTGAGACCTGAGTATGCTTCACAAACATATGATGACATACAGACTAGGTGGTTAACCCCTGAAACTATAGGACAGTGGTTCCCAACCTTTGGGCCTCCAGGTGTTTTGGACTTCAGTTCCCATAGCTCATAACAGTTGGTAAACTGGCTGGGAATTCTGGCAGTTGAAGTCCAAAACACCTGGAAGCCCAAAGGTTGGGGACCACTGATATAGGAGTAGAGAATGGGTTGGTGCTGCTGAAATCCTGAATAGTAACACCATGTGCAAAGATCTTGTTTTCTGAGTCACATGGAAATGACTCCAATGTATAAAGTTTATAAGGACAACAATGAAGACAATGAGGAAATAAAGAAAATTACTTGTTCTTCTGTCACTCCTTCCGTAGACTCTGCCTCTGCATTGTCTTCTGTGTGTGCTTCATTCTCTTCAGTAGCCTCAGACTTTTCAATTTCCTGGCAACAAAGTAAAGAACTGCATGAGTGATATTAGTCAGCCAAAAAAGGGAAAAAAGGGGAATAACAATGGGAATCAAAGTAAATACAAAACACTCTTTAAAATATCTAGCACATTTCATGATTGCCGGTTCAACAGAATAAATTAGCCATTTGCCTATTGGGTTGTTGTGTGTTTTCTGGGCTGTATGGCCATGTTCGAGAATCATTTTCTCCTGATGTTTCACCTGCATCTATGGCAGGCATCCTCAGAGGTTGTGAGGTCTGTTGGAAACTAGAAAAATGGGTTTATATGTCTGTGGAATGTCCAGGGTGGGAGAAAGAACTCTTGTATGCTTCCATTGGCCACCTTGATTAGCATTTAATGGCCTAGCAGTTTCAGATGTGGCTTCTTACTGCCTGGGGGAATTCTTTGTTGAGAGGTGATTAGCTGTCCCTGATTGTTTCTTATCTGGAATTCCCCTGTTTTTAAGTGTTCTTTATTTACTGTTATAATTTGAGAGTTTTTAATACTGCTAGCCAGATTTTGTTCATTTTCATGGTTTCTTTCTTTCTGTTGAAATTTCTGTTGTTTATTGTTTATTTCTGTATCACCTTCCAGCCCACAAGGGCTGTCAAGGTGATGAATTTAAAAAGTAAATACAAAAATTAAAATATCTTTAAAACATTACAATACTAATTTAAAAAAACCCTAAAACAGGCTAGAAACAATCCTAGAATCCAGTTTTAAAACAGCATTTTCAAAAAATAAATACCATATAGAAGTACATTGTTTTGGCTGCCTGTCACAAGATAAAAAGTTTCAGAGTCAAGGCACTGCCACAGTGAAAGCCTTGTTATGTGAACCCACTAATCTAACTCTAAGAGGTATATCAGTATCAGCATCACAATCAGCACTGGCAACTTATTCATGTAATTTCTGCCTCTCCCTCCAATAATAGAATTCGAAACAGATAGGTGTTGGGACATGCAATAGGGCCTCCTCTGAAGATTTCCAATTTCTGGCAGGCTAATATTAAAGGGGGCAGTATTTCAGATATTTTGGGTTTAAGTCATTTAGGGTATTGTAGGTCAATACCAGCACCTTGGATTGACTCAAAAGCAAACCGGAAGCCAGTTTAATTCTTGCAAGACCAGTCTCATATGATTTCTAAAATGCACACATGACACCAATCTGACTGCTGCATTTTGCTTCTAGGTGTTTTTCAAAGCCACATAGAACACATTACAGTAATCTAACTGAGAGGAAACTTAGGTATGAACCACTATGGCCAGATACTTTATCAGGTTTGTTTGCCAATAATTTAAAATAATAGTTGTATGAAGGACTTTCCTCTATGCAGCTTGGCCCCCAGTGACCTATGTTCTCCACACTCATCAAGGTCAGCTGTAAAGCAAAAGGCCAGGCTTGCAACTGCCCACTTTCTTTATTCTTTTTACAGAAGACAGGAATATGGCAGTAAACTGTATTTAAAGAACTAAGTTGATGGATGACTACAGACCAGATCATTTCTTTCCCCGTGATCACTAACAGCAACAAAGAGGAAACGGAAAAGGGGGCCCATCTTGCCTGTTCTTCCAGTCATTTTGGGACGTGAATGCAGAGTGACCACGTAGCTATCAGTGAAAGCTATAAAATAACCTGGAGGGGGCTGAGAGAGTGTGTAAAGTAAACTGGGATGAATTGGACAAGCTTGAAGAGTGAGTTGGGGGTTTTTGTGGGAACAACCTTTGGGACAATCTGGAGTAGAACAGGAAAGCCTACAGGGTGATCAAAATGGAAGAGAAGGGAAGTTAGTGTGTGTGCACTTGTAGGGTGGGTGCATGGTTGTGTATCAAAGGAACAATGTCTGCAAAAGACATACTTTGGAGGAAGGTAATCTTAAAAGAGAGTGTGTGGGAATCTTGTGTGTTTTTCATATGGGGAAAGAGGAACAAAGGTTTGTAGGTGGCTGGTAAGGAGGGAGGACTGTAAAAAAAGGAGGTGCTGACTGTAAACCTCCCTGAGTCACCTGCTGCACGGGCTGAGATGGGCGGTATATAAATATAGTAAATAAATAAATCATACATACATACATACATACATACATACATACATACATACATACAAAGGGACAGGTATATGTTTTTGGAAATGAGCCTATGGCTTATTTTCATTTTCTTGGTCAGGTTTCTTGTCATCCAAGCACATCAGTTTGCTGTTCCAGGAAATAGCTGTTTTATCACTAACCATGCTCACCATAGCAACCATTTATTTATGAATGGGTACCTCCCAGGATATCTATTTTGTGCTAGATTGATAACATTCAATTTCAAACGTGTTCAACAATCTCAAAATGTGCATTGAGGCGGTATACTGCACAAGCTGGAAAAATCATTAATTCCACATATACAGCCTGAGATAGGCTGGGGAACTATTGAAAGTGGTACAGTATTTCTGTGGGATATCAATATGGTTTCTCACAACCATACATTGTTGGTTAACTACAGTCTGTTATAGATTTTTTTCAAACATATTGGCTTTTATTCACTCAAAAACAGGCATTTGTCAGTTGGTACAATATTCTCCTATGTTGTATATAAACCTGTCTCTGATGTTCAACAAATCATTCCTATTGCAAGCAGGATGACATGGGCACACATCACAGAAGCTATGTTCCATTTACATAGACAAGGCCTATTAAAGCACTGTTGCTTCTAAGTTAAACAAAGCAACACACACAAATATAGATTTTTTAAAACAAAAAAGGACTAAAAGTGAGGATTATTACACAGAAGGATAAGACATGGATATTACTTCTGCAGGTTTGTTCTCTTCTCCTGAAACATCCCCATTTGGCACAGTTGGTTCTTCCTCAATAAGCCGTCCCTCCTGTATGTCAGAAGACAAAAATATTTTTAAACTTCACAGTACTCTACTAAAGCAAAAGATAGGTCTAGACATCTGAAGGATTAGCTAGGCCTCCCTGTGGATACCAAATCTGTGGATGCTCAAGTCCCATTATATATATGGTGTAGTAAAATGGCATCCATTATATAAGGTGGCAAAATCCAGGTTTGCTTTGGGGTCTTTGTTTTTTGGGAGGAGGGATATTGTCAAGCCAGGGATGGTTGTATCCATGGATGCCAAAACGATGGCTATGGAGGACCAACTGTATAGCCATACTATTTCCAAACTCTGCAATGAAACCTCTACTACTGCATCACACTAGAGAATGAATCTGGTTTCTGCCTCCTGCATCATTTTGGGGTTTGTAGTTTAGTGAGGCTGCTAAAGGCTCCTCACTAAAATACAAACCTCTGAATTCAGCAGGAAGCAGAAACCGAATCTTAAGTGCATTCATTCTCTAGTGTGATGAGCTCTTAGCTAGAGGGTGTTTAAGAGCCAAAGTGGTGAGTGTTTCTCCCACAGGGTTGTCCCAAGACACTGTGCTTATTCTTTTTAAAAAATGGGAGTGGGAGATGCAGTCCTTTTTTATATATTTATACTTTAAATATATTTTAACACCATGAAATTACTGCTTTGTAAATAGGACAATCTGTTTAATTGTTTTAATATTTGTTATTATAATTAGCCGTGTTTTTGTTTTGTTAAAAAAAACTACATTGCAAGTTGCACATTGGGGGGAAAGTGGGATAGAAATAAAATAAGTCAATAAATGAAATATGGCACAGAAGAAGTACCAACTGCCATGCATTAATAGGCGACAATAAAGAATCTGGACAACAGAGATGTCACTCTATCCTTTCAGCACAGTCAGCTGTCCCACATAACAGCTGTGTTTCAAATTACAGTTTTGTATTAAGAGGACGATGGTGGAATTCTCAGGAAGGATTTTCCCTTTAATTTAGCACAGCAGCTTGGTGACATGTCAGATTATTTCTCAGGCAGTTACTGAAAGATATTATATATGCCAACTTGTTTTACTTCCTTCTGTTCCTAATCTTCTGCAAGTGGCCCTCTGTATCCATGCATTCTGCATTCACAAATTTAACCATCCATGGCTTGAAAATATTTATCCCCAAAAACAAATTTCAAAAAGCAAATTATTTTTCCATTTTATAGAAGGGGCATCATTTTACTAAACCATTGTATAAACTGGGATCTGAGGATGCACAGATTTTGGTATCCATGATTTCCCCTCTATCATATGCACTTTTTAAGAAAATGATGGAGACATAGATGATTTTTTAAAATCTTATTTATATAGAATGCATTAAATATTAAATTAGACTTCAGCCCCTAATGCCCTCCATATAGAACTTGTATGTTGACTGTATGATTATATGCTTGACCATACTGAAGTATAATTATTCAATAGTATTCCTGTACCTTTGTATTTTGTGAAGCAAATAATAATAATAATAATAATAATAATAATAATAATAATACATTCTATGCTAAGCCCATCCAGCCTGAGATCACTATGTTTAGATAAGGGAGGTAAAATAATTTCCTAGACAGCCTTTCCTCCATAAATCTTCTCACTGTTATCCCAAGACTGGAAAACAAAAGAAAAATGCCAATTGAGTTATGGTTAGCACTTCTAGAAAGAAAACAACTGTGTGACTGTTAAGCCTCCGTAACCTACATACAGTGGTCAAAATTTTGATTTTGATATTACACAATTACTTGCAAGAAGAAAGGAAGTCTCGGTTGCAGGCTAAAATGTAATGTCATTAAGAAGCAATGTTCTTTATTACCGTAGATCAGKGGTCCTCAAACTAAGGCCCGGGGGCCGGATGCGGCCCTCCAAGTTATTTACCCGGCCCTCGCTTAGGGTCAACCTAAGTCTGAAACGACTTGAAAGCACATAACAACAACAACAATCCTATCTCATCAGCCAAAAGCAGGCCCACATTTCCCATTGAAATACTAATAAGTTTATATTTGTTAACATTGTTCCTCATTTTMATTATTGTATTGTTTTTAAGTGTTTWTTACACTACAAATAAGATATGTGCAGKGTGCACAGGAATTCATGTTTTATTTTTCAAATTATAATCYGGCCCTCCAACAGTTTGAGGGACTGTGACCTGGCCCTCAGCTTAAAAAGTTTGTGGACCTCTGCCRTAAATGAATCAGGTGATGGGGCTATTTCTGATATAGATAGATAGATAGATAGATAGATAGATAGATAGATAGATAGATAGATAGATAGATAGATAGATAGATAGATAGATGATAGATGATAGATATCTGTRTTTCCATATTCTTATGGTGGATAGAAAGAAAATTCAATAACTCTATTAAGAGTATTTTAATGGAAAGCTGGATTCTATCCCTGGATATCTTCCTTGAAACTCATCTCAGGATAAAGGCAGGGTATAAACCTAATACATAAATATTGTTAATTAATTCGGTAGAAAATTATTACAAACCAGTACATTTTCCATGTGTTATGGCAGTGGATATTACTTATAAGTGGATGATTAGGATAAATTGTAGGGGGGGGGTGTAGGGAAATATGATGTATATATTCAATTTTATCATACTTATTTACTGTATCATTATAAGTGTCTTATTTGACTTACTACATAGAGTTTTATTAAGTTGTATTAAGCTTTGTTGTTTGTTTCTATTTGGTGATATGGCTTAAGGGCTAATCGCTAAAAATTTATTTATTATTTATTTAGAAGTGCTTTCTACTAAAATTAGTATTTTGCTACTGTGTACATTCAGGAATTAATGTTAAGATCTGCTTTTTTTTAACTGCATTTCTATGCCGACTTTCTCAGCCCGAAGGCGACTCATTCAGGAATTAATGTTAAGACCTGCTATATTCCATATGGTATAAAACATGTTGTATTGAAGTCAATATCAACAATCTCACAATATTAGTAGCACAGGATATCCTCTTAGGAGAATAATTTATAAATCGATATCTTCTGACATATTAATGGAAAACAAAAGGGACATTTTTTCGACAGAAAAATCTATATAATTTTGTCAATAAGAGATTGTGTTAGTCTAAAAGTCATCAGAAGCGTTTTTTTAAAAAAAAAATCTATGTGATTATTGTCAGAATCCTAGACCAGCTATTTCATTAAGAACACAATAACAAGTAATGTCTTCTGGCCTGGCCGCTTCTCACTCCAGTCCACCTAAAGAGCAAGCATCAAGATCAAACAAAGGAGATCCATTTGGCTTTTGATCAGGCTACAAAATGGGCAATGTTTCCACATGCCTCCCAACAGTTAACAAGGTTATGGTTAAAACCTGTAGCAGGAGCCTCAGAGCCCTTCCACACAGCCATATAACCCAGAATATCTGCTTTGAACTGGGTTATCTGAGTCCACATTGCCATATATCCCAGTTCAAAGCAGATAATGTGGGATTTTATTCAGCTGTGTGGAAGGTGCCTCACTCACTGGTATAGCAGATAGAAATGTGATCCTCCTTGTACCCCAATCATCATCTGAACAGACTTCCTTCACTCAGTTCAGCAGCTGGCTCTTAAAATAGACTGAGGGTTGCTTGCTCTTAAAGTGATCATTGACCATTTAAGATTAGTGAACAGGGAGCAGTTATGAGTCCATAACTAGGTTACAAATCTGTACATATAATACAGCATACCAGTCAATATTTGTTGCTTTATACACCACCTCAGTCTCTAATTGATCATGAAATTAAGATCAAGAAATCCCAAAGCGGAGACAGTCATACCGTTGATCCTGGTGGAGGAGCAAGGCCTAGGAATGAATAAATAATATTTTCTTCTTTTGCAGAGAAAAATGACTCAAAATCCTAAAAGGGTAACAAAAACACAAAGTATCAATAGGTAACATGTTCAGAAGGGATGGACTCCTCCACCTTTTCTACATATCTAAACCTGTAATTCTGTTGTTTTAATCTTAACAATAAACAGAATTCCTTGCTGCCATCTTGTTAGTAAAAGTTGAGCATCTCTAATCTGGAATTTCAAAATCCAAAATACTCCAAAATGCACATGGTTGACTCAGATAGTGACACTTTTGCTTTCTGATAGTTCAATGTACACAAACTTTGTCTCATGCATACAATTATTCAAAATTTTGTGCATAAAATTACTTTTAGGTTTTGTGTATAAGGTGTACAGCAGTGGCACACAATCTGTGGTCCTCCAGGTGTTTGAGACTCAAACTCTCAGACACCCTAGCCAGCTTGTCTAATGGCCCAGAATTCTGAGAGCTGAAGTCTGAAACATCTGGAGAGCCCACAGGTTGTACACCACTGGTGTACAGGAAGCATATATACTTGTATATGCAAGTATCCAAAATCCCTCCCCCCCCCTCCCCAAATTAATCAAAATACAAAACACTCCTGGCTCCAAGTATTCGGGAAAGCACTACTTAACCTATAGCAATAACAATGTCATATTACACTTCCTCTAATATGGCAATCTAATTTGCAAATCTACACTATATTTCAACTTTGTTACCATTTTAAAGAAATGGTAACAACTAATCTGAGCCAACCAATATAGTGTAATGGATAAGATACTGGACTTGAAACAGGGAGACTCATTAGATTCCCAGTTTGGTGATGGAACTTATTCTGATGTTGCTTAGCATCACTTTATCTCAATTACAAATTTATCTCAATTACAAAGGTCAATGGAGAGAGGAAAACCAGACTTGACCATGTTGGTCCACACTCTTGTTACATCACGAATAAATTACTGTAACGCACTCTACGTGGGGTTGCCTTTGAAGACTGTTCAGAAGTTCCAGGTAGTCCAATGGATGGCAGTCAGGTTGCTCACTGGAGCGACATACAGAGAACATACAACCCCTCTGCCACGCCAGCTGTACTGGTTACCAATCCGCTGGCTTTAGCCTATAAAGCCCTGAATAGCCCTGAATAGTTCTGGCCCAGCTTACCTGTCTGAATGTATCTCCTGCTATGAACCATTGCAAAGTCTACGATCGACAGGAAAGACCCTACTCTCGGTCCCACCATCCTCACAAACACGACTGGTGAAGACGAGAGACAAGGCCTTCTCAGTGGTGGGCCCTTGCCTATGGAACTCTCTACCCAGTGACATTAGATTGGCCCCCTCTCTCTTATCCTTTAGAATGAAACTCAGAAATGGGACCAAGCATTTGAACAGTAGAGGCAGCAATTTAGAATGAGACCCAATTTGTGTGAATGACAATGGACTGACCTGGACCATGATTTCAAACCTATATGATTTAAACAATATTTTAATAATTTTAAAGCATTAACAAATTGTTTTAATTGTTTTTATCATTTATTACTGTTGTTAGCATTAAATGAATACCCCCTCTAGGAGTGAGAAGAATGGGATACAAATATGTGAAATAAATAAATAAATAAATATAAAGTAGCCATATTCATTCTTGATGTGGTACAGATGACATAATAACAATAATTAGAATCCATTTTGTCATGTGCAAAAACTTTCAGGGGCGTTTTTCTCATACCACTGTAGGTTTTTGTTTTTGCAAGCAGTTTATTTTTCTGTTTTCTTTTTCTAAGAGCAACAATTCCATCTAATTCACAGTGGGAAATGTCAGGGAAAGCAGTAATAACTGCAGCTAGGAGGCAAAGTATAATTTCCTTCTGAAACATAGATTTAATATTTGTTAAAACTAGAAAATAATCTATTTTAATCTTCTTTGTCATGCTGACCTTTTCAACACAGTACACATGCTAATCAGCTTATGTATATTAAGATATCTGTGCGACTGTTTCTTTAAAAGCAGTACACTTTACTCATTACACCTGCCAGTCCAACCATATGTATACTGTATGAGCCAACACGCTATGCATCTCGTGGAAGTGTGGTATATTCTATGAACACTGAAGTCATATAAAGATGTGTTAGTCTTTAAGATGCTATTAGACTGTGTTGTTTTTGCTGCAACAGACTAACACGGTTACCCAATATTGTCTTGTGGATTACAGAGCAAGTGTCAACCCAGTGTTGTAGAGTTGTTACCCCTCATATAACCTCTCAAATTTTATTTCCACTTCTCCGCAATATAAATCATTTTATGTTCCTCACCTCTGTTAGTACTGTTCTGTTTCCCTGCTATAGTTTATGCTGTGATATTCCTAATACATTAAAAATCCTGTGCATGGTTACTTAAGAGATGAGGGTATATGTGTGACTAAACAGCACAAATGCCTGTAGCATACTTTCAAAACAAACAAAAATATGGAGTTACTGTAGCATGTCTAAACTGATTGGTCTTTTCTGTATGTGTGTGTGTGTGCACGCCTTCAGGTCACCTGCTGAGTTATGATGACTCCATGAATTTCCAAAGGATTTTCTTAAATAAGGAATACCCAGAGGTGGTTTTGCCAGTTCCTTCCTCTGAAGTATAGCTTACAATAACTGGTACTCCTATCCAAGTAATAATCAAACTTGACCCTACCTAGCTAACAAGATCAGACGGGCCCTGGTAACTTTAGTTATCACTGCTTTACAATCTAAGTCCCACATGAAAGCTATGCCTCTATCACCTTTTATCTTTTTTTGCCTTTTCCCAGCTGCTCTATCCTTCAAGATAGCAAGCAAACATCCATAAAGGCTATAGCAATACTTCTGCCTCTGCTGCTAGACAAGAAGCAGAAAGAGAGGGGTAGATGGTGCCATGAGTAGGTGATAGCAATGGGGAAGTGAGAATAAATATGAGAAGGTGGCGCCAATACAGATGGCCTTCTTCCTCCTCCTCCATGAAGCACAAGGAGAAGCCTACCTACTCCTAATAAGAAACTGTTTTTCCCTGGCATGCTCATTAAAATGCATGTTATTGCTTTAACAAGCAAAAACAGCAGGCTGCCTGTCACTGTAAATAAGAGTGACTGCACTATGGTACCAATCGTTTTTACCCAGCTCCCCCCACCCCATTAATTCATATAGTTTCATTGCTTTTCAGGTAAGCATACTTCAACAGAGCTCCTATTCCCACCAGCCAAAGCAATCATTTTTACCAGAAGTGTAATATTTAACTGAAATTGTAAACTTTTATATAGGAGAAAAGAGTCAACTGTACATTCATAAACCTACGAATCTTCACCATAGTAGTGAAACCTGATTCATTCATTGAACAAAGTGAAAGGCAGTGGGTGACAGGCTTGTTTTTGTAAGACAATTGGACAAACTAGTAATTTGAGCTCTTATAAAGTTTACTGTTGAGCATTTTAAAAAATAACCACAGATGATTTGCACAGATTTTAATGGACAATTGAAGAAAGTTGAGTTTGTGAAATGGAAACTGCAATCAAGAGATAAAAAAATGCTATTACCTAGAAGTGGAGTTATGAAGGTACTAGACAAGATCTTCAAGTGTAAAATATATCATTGGAAACAGAAGTGAAGATATGTCATTCTATTTCCAATTTCATGAGTATTATTATGAAAGCTGGACAATGAAATAAATTTATAGGATGAGGCTCATCTCATTTGAAAAGTGGTGTTAGACATATATAATCACAACAGCCAGATTGCTCTATGTGCAGAAATGGAAGAACTTCACCAACAACACAGAATTAGATGATAAAAATGAGGGACCTGGCTGAAATTGACAAATTAACCTATTTACTAAAAGAAGGGACATCGGAAAAAATGTAAAGACTGGAAACCCTTTATTTGCTTTTTGCATGAGAAAGAAAATGATTGCCAATTATGAGCTTTGAAGAATAATTTGATGAGGGTGTTTTGTTCAAGAAAGTAGTCAACATTGGGAGGTCTAGAAAGTGAAGCTTATGTTGCTTTATTTTGGCCAGATGAGGATAGATCAGAGGTCATCTACTTTTTCTTTTTCATTTCTTCTGTTTTCTTTCTTTTTTTCTTGGCATTTTTGTGTTTATTTTTTCTTATTTCTTTTTTAATTCACTTTTTTGACTTTTAATGTAACTTTTAAGACTTTTTAAATAAAGTTATTATTAAAAAAAGAAAAAAAGGTGCTACTGGACAAAAAGACAAATAAATGGGTTTTAGAAGTCTGAAGTCTCCCTGGAAGTCAAGATGACTAAGCTGAGACTGTCATACTTTGGACATAGATGAGAAGATATGACTCACCAGAAAAAACAATGTTGGCAAGACAGAAGTCAGAAGGAAAAGAAGGAACATCACACTATTTGAAGGAAAACACTGATCCAATGAAGTACAGATAGTATTTAAGATGTACAAGCATGCTTCAAATAACTGTTGGAAATGTGGTCAAAATTTAGGAATATTTTATCATACATTGTATTTTTGCTTCTCCTAATGGCTCAAGGCACAGTACAACACAGCCAAAACACATCGACATAAAATACATCCAAGAAAATACATATATCAAAACTCACCACTATAAAATGCATACACCAAAAACACATGGTACACAGATCAAAATACAGCAGCAATACAATGCAAATCAAAACTCATGATTCAAAGTTGACTGATTAGGCCTGCCAGAAGAGATAGGTCCCCAGTTGCGTTTTAAATTCTGACAGCTCGTTTAGCTGTCAGATCTCTTCTGACTGGTCATTCCACAGTATTGGGGTGGCCGATGAAAAGGTCCTCTGGGTGACAGTTGCCAATTGGGTTCCAGAAGGCTGCACCCAGAGGATCTAAGTGTCCAAAAGAGCAGATTATAAGGGAGAAGGTGATCCTTTAGGTAACCTGGACTCAAACCATGTAGGATTGTAATGATCAAAACCAACACTTTGTACTTTGCCTGAAAACTCATTAGCAACCACTGGAGTGACTTTAACATAGGTGTGATATACTCACTCCTAGATGTTCCCATAAACAATCTGTCTGCCATATTTTGAACAACTTGGACTTTCCGAACTTAGTACAGAGGTAGTCAAATGTACAGCACATTGCAAAAGTCAAACCTTGAAATGACTAGTGTGTGCACTACCATCTTTAGGTCTTCTGATTCTAGGAAGGGGTGCAGCTGATATATCAGTTTAGTCTCTGCAGGGCTGACTCATGCAAACACTGACCTACATGTTCATTGCAGATGTGCCCCAAGCCATCCAGTGATGTCAGTGGGCATTGGGTGGCATCCTTCTGTTCCTAGAAAAACCTGGGCAACTGCATTTTATGTCAACCTTCATCTTAATAACAACTAACTATCCCAATCAATCAGAGTTAACACTAATAGTATTTTACTGTTAAAGTAGGAGAGAGACTCCTGTGGGATTTTCTATACCAAATGCCAAAATCACATGCTTAGATTTTGGTATGACTGGCCTTAATATAACCAGAGAGGGGACATACCATTTGCTGATCTGCTTCAGGCAGCTAAATGAAAACCACAGAATCCAGTGTACATGTGTTCATTTCAATAAAGGCAGGAATGCACAATTCAGGCAACACATACATCCCACAAAAAAACACATAAACCTACACAATAGCGTCACCAATTTTAAAACTCACTTATTCATCAATGAATAACAGAAATGTAGCATGACACAACTTACAATTCGTTTGTGTGTGTGCGTGTTTTGTAGCTAGCAGTGGGTTCAGTGGGGAGAAGTGGATCAAAGATATACCTTGCCATGGTAAGGGTTTAATAATTTACCACAGCAGTAATTCAAAAGTGTGTGCGGGTTGGGGGCTGCCTGAGTAAAAGAGGGAGATAGCTATTATAAAATGCTGGCCAATCAATATTCCCTTAGCTTGTCAGGTTTTTTTAGTATCTTTAATTGATAGGGGTTTTATCGTTGTTTTATGTGTAATGGGGTTAATTTTATTGTTATTAATTTTATCTTTTCTAGTCTGCTGTATTTGCATTGTGCTGCACTATTGAGTGCATCCTGTGAGCTGCCCCGAGTTCCTCCGAGGAGATGGTGGTGGGATACAAATAAAGATGATGATGGTGATGATGATGATGATGATGATGATGATTATTATTATTATTATTTTCTCTGTGATTTACAAATTACTATTCAGTAGTATTGCTACTGTTGTATGAATTAATATTTTAGAGTTGTTTGTTCTGTGGCCCTTTCACTATTGACCTTCCCAAATGAAAAACTCCCTTTCTCACAAAGATTTAAATTACAAGATCCATTAAATACTACAAGCATCATTATATAGATATTCATTTGTTTCTGCTTGATCTCCATGTTTAGATCAAGAGTCGCCCTAGGGCTGAGAGCGGCGGTCAACAAATGCAGCAAAATGCAGCAAGATGAACATGTTTACTAGCATTTAATAAATATTCTAGATTTTAATTTTATTACTACTTTGATATGATGGTTTGTAATTCTTAATCTGTGCAGTGACAGCAATTTAGAACTTGTTCGGAAAATGTTTGATACATAATTATTGTACATAGCTGAGCAGTTGCAGAGAATAAAGGCAGCTGTCCTCAGACTAGCATTTCAGATAGAAGAGAAATGCTTTAGAAACCATGACTGGGAGATGGAACCATTACACACACACACATGTATGTTGTGGTTTAAATCGCAAAGAGAGTAATTAATTCAGCTGTAGAATTATGTCAGTGTGTAGGTAAATTCCATTGATTCAGAGGTCTGTTGTAATTTGTATTAACAATAGGATTCAGCTCACAATGTTCAGCATCAGACCAATATGTTTTCTTGTGTAAAGCAACAAAAGGCATACCGCACAAACACACACAATCATGGTACCAAAGTTAGTCAAGCTGCTCTGGCATCTCAGAAAATCCCAACACTTGTTCTCAACCCTGATAGTAAAATATAATAATTACAAATTTAAGTAAATATCAACTGCAGTTTCATATCTATTGTCTGGAGTGTCTTCCCTGCTAATGGTGGAAATTACATTGTTGCAGTAGTCATGTCAAGACTAGGAAATAGGCTTGTAAGAGACCAGAGCTTAAGGATACTACACACTGAAGACCACCTATAACTGAGCAATCTGAATCTCGAATTTTGTCCTATCATTTCCTAGTTATGACTAACTTCAGAATGTTATTAAGTTCATTTCTCCTCAAAGTAACTTTCTAAGCTCTGCAAGAAAAATGTGACCCCCTATCCCATTTCCTTTTCCATTTGGTTATTTGCTGACTTAGCATATACTGTACCCTTCAAGTAATGAAATTTTCATACAATTCTTTAAATCAAGGCAAGAGCAGCTTAGGTTACAGACACCAAGAAAGCCAGTCTGCTATACTTTCAGTCTCATTGACCCACCCCCTTTACTACAAATCTCTACCATTTCTTTTTAAATGACTATACAAACAAAACTCCTATTCACGCTAAAGAGATATTCCCCTGGTCTTTTGAGTGTCTTCTATTAATTACAGTATATGGTGATAGGCAGTCTAGCTATGCCATTGGCACTGGATTGAAGCTAATGTAAATATCAGACTAAGAATATAATCCTGCCCTTTTTTAATCATCTGGAGAGACCCTTAGACATGTAATTTTGGCATGTCAATTGCCTGGTGCCCAAAATAGCAACATGCAGAGTCAGAGAGACAGTATACTTCTAATTTGGAGTATATGTAGACATTCTATAGCAGGTGCTGTTTGGCAATAAACCTTCTAGTATATCATTCTTTCTGTTATTTCCCTTGTTGTATGCACACCCCACACTTATAGCCGTTTGACACCTCTTTTAACTGTGATGCCCTCCATCTTTGCATTTGTAGTTTGGTGAGGTACTTCAAATTCTCTAATAATTTCTAGTGAATGACATACAGTTCTCTGGGAAAGAATTATAAATACCATGCTTTCTAAACCCCACCCCCCACCTCCAACATAATGTTTTTACACAGAAAAAAACTATCAGTTTCTCTGAGCAGAAAAATCCTCCAGAACAGCACTTTGGTTGTACAATGGCAGAAGTTAGATAAAAATTGAATCCTCCTTTAAGGTTAAGTGCACATAGATATAAATCCTTGATTATTTACTATAAAAAAAGCATCCTGATTAAAAATAAAACTATAAATCAGAGGAATTTCACATGCAGCATTCTGTAAAAAATGAACAGGATAAACAAGACAAAAGGGCAACCATTGCAAACATTTCCAAAACATCACATGGATCCAACACAACTACAATTTTGTATATTAGATGTCAATAAAAAACATTTTCAAATCATGTGACACATCTGCAGGTACAAATAAATTCAAAGATGTTCTCTTTTTGAAGAAGTATCTTCTGTAATTCCACAGTAAAGACTGGAGATATAGAACAATAAGAAGGGAAAACAGGCAAGGGCCTTGACGTTTTCCAACCATATTCAGCATCAGGGCAGCAGTTATGGAACACCTCCAAACTGATCACTTGGGGCAATGGAATTTTTTCTAGAATAGATCAGACATCTAATCCTAGATTGCCTTGTCTACCTGAACATCAACATCTCTGTCATGTCTGCTTTCTGTCTTGAGTTGTCAACCCACATGAAGATTGTAGTTATGACCCAGCAATGCCTCTGAACTGTGTATTCTACTCCAGTGATTTATATGTGTCAATTAGCAAAGAAAACAAAATCATGGGAGGGGAATCATAATAATAAGTAGACAGGGAATATTATATGTGTTCCAGAAATTTCCATAGATATAGTGTCCCCACTGAAGTAACATCACTTCATTCTGTACCCCTCTCTTTGACCCTTCAGGATTATTTTGCAAAAATAACTTTAAAAACAGGGATAAAACACATTTTGCCAAATTTCTGAAGCAAATCCATACATTTTTTTAAATAAAAAAATATCTAAAACAAACACGTCCTGGCTTTACTTTTCTTACCCCACAGTACTGTTCCTCATTGAATATTTGTGGAGGGAGCGGGATTCCATTTTGTGGCTTCTTTTCACCTGGAACATTTTCTCGCATCCATTTCCGGTTGTCTTCATCACAGGCAATGTCCAGTTCTTTAAAATCAATCTTGTTGGCCTCTAAGAAACCTACTACCTCTTGCTGTTTCTTCTTGATCTGAATAGACAATGGAGGAATTGAATCTGTCATTTAAATTTTACACTTACTAGCGAGAATGCACCACTATATCCATGGTATATCCACTATATCAACTATACTTGTAGTTTCTTACTGGAACTATGAACTCAAGAGAAAGAAAATAAATTATGACTCTTGTATCTGGAGAATCACATTGTTTCACTTATCCATGGTTTCACCTATTCACTTAGGATTTCCTGTAAGAGCTACACGTTATTTATTTATTTATTTATTTATTTAATGCACTTGTAGACCGCCGTTCTCAGCCCTAGGGCGACTCACGGCGGTGTACAACATATAAAAAACAAATTACAATATAGGCAATATCACAAACAACAATAACAACATCACTGTCAATAATACAATTACACTAAATCATTCGCGACGTCTCATCGTAGAATCACAATCCAATCTCGTTATCCATGTTCCGTTCCAGTCATCATTGCCAATTGTTGTAGCACTTAGTCAAACGCCTTCTCAAACAACCACGTCTTTAGTCTCTTGCGGAATGTCATAAGGGAGGGCGCCTGTCTGATGTCTACAGGGAGGGTGTTCCACAGCCGGGGGGCCACCACCGAGAAGGCCCTATCCCTCGTCCCCGCCAGGCGAGCCTGTGAGGCAGGCGGGATCGAGAGAAGGGCCTCCCCAGACGATCTCAAAGTCCTCGTGGGCTCATAGGCCGAGATGCGGTCAGACAGGTATTTTGGGCCGGAACCGTTTAGGGCTTTGTAGGCCAACACCAGCACCTTGAATTGGGCCCGGTAGCAGATCGGCAGCCAGTGGAGCTGGAACAAGGGCGTTGTATGCTCCCTGCGTCCTGCCCCTGTTAGTAACATGGCTGCCGCGCGCTGGACTAGCTGGAGCTTCCGGGCCGTCTTCAAGGGCATCCCCACGTAGAGAGCGTTGCAGTAGTCAAGGCAGGACGTTCTTCTCAATGCCTCAATTATTGATATGAGAATACAGTAATAAGCTTCACTGTTATTCATGGTTCCAAAGTACAGAAATGTATAGCCCATGCTTTGAGAGAGGGCAGTCAGGAAGTATTTGGTTAAGGGGTTTCATGTCAGGAGCAAAATTGCAAGTCACTTCTAGTGTGAAAGAATTGGCTATCTGCATGGATGTTGCTCAGGGGATGCCCAGATGTTTTATGTTTCACCATCCTTTTGAAAGGCTTCTCTCATGTCCCTGCATGGGGAGCTGGAGCTGATAGAGGGAGCTCAACCTGCTCTTCCCAGATTTGAACCGCTGACCTATTGGCCACCAGTCCTGCCGGCACAAGGGTTTAACCCATTGCACCACCAGGGTCCCCTGGCCAAGGGGTGAACTAATGGAGGCAAATTGACCATTGTTTAATGAAGGGCATCCCTATGTTATATGAAGTTTTCTGGGCTACTCAGACTGCTCAGCTAGGCAGCACCCTACCCCCACCCCCCAAGATGACAATCATCCTTATTGGGAATTTTAAACATGATTTATTTGGCAACCCGTGCTTGCACAAAATATCAGGCTTCTCCCTTCAAATTCTTCTCTCAGGATTCTCTTTCTTGAAAGGTCTTCTCAACAGCAAAGGTCTTCCAGAACTGTCCCTGGAAGCCAAAGTTAAATAACACCCAAAGTGCTAAATTAAGATATATAGAGATTTTACGCATATGTTAACAGATCCCACAGGCTTACTCACTGGCACATGGGTTTAGAGTTGTATTATTCATTAAATCTGGAGCTTCTGAGCTTGTAGCTGATTTGAGAGCCAGCAAAAGCCATCAGCTGAAATCCGGGATCCTCTTATCCCAGATGCCCCAACTTCCATGGCAGCTTCCAATTCCATCTCCAGTCCGGTGCTGCTGACTCATTCATCTTCTCAGCTCTGCCAAAACTATATTATCTATTCATTTACTATATTTATGTAGAGCCTTTGAATAACATTGCTCTGGGTGACTTGCAACATGACATGATAAAACAAAATTTGCAACCAACAGTTTGGGACACTTAAAAGTGAAAAGGCAAGGCAATATAATATTATTGGCAATAAGCGTTAATTATGTTTGTTTAATTATGTTAAATTAATGAATGCTTGTTTTAGATAGAAGAGAAGTCATAAGGTATAGTCTAGCATTGTATATAAAAGGTACATTTCTGTCTTGCTAAAGGATGTGGGTTTTTGTGGTTTGGAGCTATGACAGCTCAGCAACCTGACTGTGATTTAACAGTAACAGGCTATGGGGAAAAACAATAGGTGTGAAATACTTAGTGCTTACCCCTGCTTTGTGGTTTTGGAAGGAGGGCCCCCCAAAAGAAGTGCATTTAATGTCCTTGGTAAATTTCCATGATGCTTGCTTTTTGTGATTATTTACTTTTGTTTCAATCCCTTTATTGTATTTGCATCATCTGATCTGGGCAGAGTTCTTATGAGCGCCTAGTTTGACTCTGTCTCATCACTGAAAATAAACCTGAATTTTTCTGAAATCCACGAAGGACTTCTGCAGTTTTGTGGTCTTCGCTTTCAGCCATTACATTTTGGTGCCTTGACTCAAATCGGGAATGCCATGTGCAAACAGGACTCTTGGAGTCCGTAGCTTCCTCAGCGAAGTGCCGTGTCTCCTGGCATTCAGCTGGCATTGTCTGATCTTTGGCATGAGGAGAGACAACTTGAGGCTAGGAGACCTGGTGACTCTGGTGAATGGACTGAATATGCCTTCTTCACATGAGTAGAAAACTTCAAGAAAGGCACCTCAAAAGGGTGAGATACCTTAACAAGATCCATGGGAATACGGACTGCCAGACAAGTATTGTGGGATTTGTCAGAGGAAAAGGTAACTTATAGGGGTCCAAGAAAAAGGACCACCCAGATTTAGCTCACCTGGGAAAAGGGACGCCAACTAATATTGGGAGAGCCTAATGTGAAACTACTCTCTAAGAAAGATGATAGGAAGCAGAGAGGCAGGTGGCAGACATCTCTCTGAATGAAGGAGTGATTGTGTTTGTTTTGAGGTCACCTGTCTTTGACCAAGCAACAAGTGTGATGTATTTGCTTTCGTTTGAGTCCCTGTATATTGTATATGCATCTTCTGATCTGGGCAGAGTTATTACGAGCGCCTAGCTTGACTCCGTCTCAGCACTGAAAATAAACCTGATTTTTTTCTGAAACCCATGAAGAACTTCTGCAGTTTTGTGGCCTTTATTTTCAACCGTTACAAAAGTATCTCAATTTCCAAAGAGAATAAAGCAGAAAGATACCAAATATTATACATAAGCAAGATTTCAGGATACAGATAGTCCCCAAGTTACAAAAATCTGACTTTCAAATGACACAGTTACCAAGAGGGGTGAGATAACAGGACATGAGAGAAGGGAACAGGACCCACCAGAAGGGAAATTCACTCCTGAAAGAGTGATCATGGGGAAAGTGTCTACGCAAAAGCTTTATCACCACTCTTTGTTTCCACAACAAGCCAATTTTTTCAAAATCCAATTATCAAAGGGACAGAAAATGATGTGAAATCTTCAGAACAGGGGCACAGACCACAAAGCAACCACACAGGGGTATTCACCCTTCCCTATGCTTCCTTAAAGATAGGCATGTGCGATCAATAAAAAAGGTTTCAAAAGTCATTACAAAATTAAGGGTCACCAGAGTTTCATTTCTAAAGTTTAAGTATTGTTAGTGCAAATTTTGTTACTATACGAGAGTAACAAAATGTCGTTACTATTTCATTAAAGTAATCTATTGATTTCTGGGAATATATTTTGGTTTTTATCAAAAACCTTCTTTAAAAAATAAACTAAAAGAGCCATGTCCTTGAATTTCTCTACAATTATGCAACACAACCAGGGCATCATTTCCTCTAAGTTTCAGAATAGTTAGTACATCCCCTGATTTGGGGGAATTTTAAATTTTTTGTTAAAAATGAAATATTTTTTAGATGCTATGGCTGGGTTATAGGTGGGGTACCACACTTGGAGGACAAGACACATCTTCCACTGCAAGCGAGCTTATCAGCAGAGATGCTGGTAGTAGCTTTACAGGACACCAGTACGATGAAGCATTACAATGTTCTACTTTTCAAAGACACCGGCCCCTTCTTCTTCTTGCTGCTGCTTCCACTGACACCTGGCAGCAGAGGGGACAGGTGTCACCTCCCTGCTTTTGGCATTGATGCTTACACTATCAATGCAACCTCCAGGTGTGCCAGGGACTACTTCTCCCATCCTGATACTATATGCATCCTTCACCAGGGAAGCCAGATTTTCCTTTGCAGTGGTGCAGCAAATTAAGACCAAAAAATCCTCTATGGGGTTCCCTCAAAGACCCAAAAACCAAATTGTAAGTGTGGGGGAAAGGTCGTAGTTTATTGGAAATCCTGCAGAGTTCACTTCTAGTGTAACACTTCTGGTGTTTTTTTCCAGTGCATGACTCCCTTACAATTGGTGAAACTTTTTTTAAAATTGCAAAAAATGAGAGGTAGTGAAAGAGTGAGGTGGTGAGGTAATTGGTTGAACTCCTGAAGGAAGAGCTGTCCTCGCTGCGTGACACTGTCACGTGCCACATGGCCATTGCGGCAGCTCATAAAAATTGTATTTGGGAAAAAATGTGGTGTACAAACATTGTGAAGTTTAAGCATTGGTGTCCAGCTCTGGGAACCCCAAGAGGAGGAGGTTGGCTTTCATAAAGACCAGCTGTTCTACCAAGGCGGGGTCCAACAAGCTCCAGTGAGGGGTGACAGCATCTCCAGTTAGGTTGAAAACCATCTCACTTGGCATGCTGGTAGGTGGACAGCTCTGGTACTTCTGAGCAATCGTGGACAGATCCAGCTACACTTGGCTCTGGGTAGACCAGTAGGCCAATGGATCATAAGCCAGACTCTCTACTGGCTCCTCCAGGTAGTGATTAATGCAACCTTCTGCTGACTCTGTTCTGCGTGCCTGGATGGATGATGATCCAACTAGAATTGTGACTGTCTCCTCAAAGAAACCAGTTGCCA